TATCTATCTATCTATCTATCTATCTATCTATCTATCTAGCACAGGACTTAACATTAATTAATTTCAATTCAGTAACTAAAAATAAAGTTTACTTCTGTCTATATTACCTAGATTTAGTAGTCACTTAATATTTGCACTGAGGTGTTCCCAGTTTCCAACTCATATTCTATCCTGGAACAAAGCAAAAACTGACCATCTCGTTGTTTCTTACCTGAAGCCCTAAGAGAATGTCTTCCAGTAATGACTGAAAGGGAGCTCTGGTAGCATAGTGGCTAAGACACTTGCCTGCTAACCAGACGGCTGAAGGTTCAAACCCACCAGCCACTCCTCGGAAGGAAGGCTGGGCAATCCTACTTCCGTAGTGATACTGCCTCGAAAACCCAAGGAGGGGTCGCTATGAGTCGGGGCCGACTCACTCGACAGCACATAACAACAACAACAACAATGACTGAAAGTGGGACAGATCCTAAAAATTAGATATCTATATAAACCTTAAGGAGCTCTGTTGACACAATGGCTTAAGTGCTTAGCTGCTAACCAAAAAAAAAAAAAAAAAGACCTAGCAATCTGGTCCTTTAAAGATTACAGCTAGGAAACCCTATGGGGCAGTTCTACTCTGTCCTATAGGGTAGCTGTGAGTCAGAGTCAACTCAATGGCACACAACTACAACCTACAGACCTTGTACTTGTTTGTTAAGAAGGATATGCCCAAGCTCGTTCTAGTATACCCCAGCACCGCATTTCTCCAATATAAGAAATTATTAACACAATGGCATTAACACAAAGTTTAATATCTAACATCAAATTATAACAGCCATTTTGGTCACTTATTCCTTTCTCCATAATTTATTTTTAGTTATAACAAATGCAGGGAGTTCTGGTAGTGTAATGCCTAAGGCATTTGACTACTAACCAGAAGGGTGGTAGTTCAAACCCACCAGCCACTCCTCAGAAGGAAGATGGGGCAACCTCCTTCCGTAGTGATACTGCCTTGGAAACCCAAGAAGGGGTCGCTATGAGTCGAATCCGACACGACGGATCTGTTTATAACAAATGCAAATGTTGTAACTTACTTTATTTCAAAAATGGCATTCGTGGTTGAAAGGGGATTACTTTTTTATCTCTGGATTTTGACAATTACTGCCAAATTGATTTCCAAAAAGTTGGTAGCAGCTTTACCATATCCCAAGCATTCCTCAGCTACCATTCAGAAGCATTAGAAGCATTGGTGTTGAAGCCAAACTGAGTTTAAATATCAACTCTAGGCACTTTGTTTGATAACCAGCAGGTTAGACTTAATGGACTTATCTTTACCATAAAAGGGGGTGAATATTGAGTTTTATGAGAATTGGGCATGGTACGTAGAACATAGCGGGTACTCGAACTCAAAAGCTGCCCAATATTATTCATGCACACAAAGGGTGGACTATTACAGTCCTTATATTTAATACAATAAAATGCTTCAAGGTGAGATTTATGTAATTAGCCATTTCTGGCAGCCTGATGAATAATCGATAAACAAAAATGCGACGCTCATTTCCCATGTGTCCCATCTTCTGGCCAATTAGCAGCAACATTTACTAACTGTGTGCCCGGCACTATAATGCTAAGATTTGTTCACCAGCTCATTTAATTATTACAATAACTCATTTCTATTTCCACAGTGCCTAAAAGCTTGTGGATTCTCAAGAGCTGACAAGAGTACACGGTTGAACTGCTAAGAGGTCTCTTGTCTCTCAATCCTAATTGACACCTGGGACATAGTTAAAACGGCACGAGCCACCAAGTTACAATTGAAAGAGGGTGTCAAGAGGTTTAATAGATAACACCTGCCTATATTAATGGGCTAGAATTACTCAAGAAGGATATAGAAGACCCGCAATCCCCTTTACCTTAAGGAAACTGGATTTTCAAAGATTAAATTTTTCTTACCAGTCTCTGAGTAGAATGGTTCAGTAGATGGCATTTGCAAGGATGTATAATTTTCTTCAGTCCCCAAAACTGTAGATATTGGTGAGGAGTCCCTGGAGTCGGGGTCGCAAGCTTCAGGCAGGCTTTGGGGAGAAGCTAGAGCCACACTCATGTTGTTGAAGGAAAAAAAAAAAAAACCTAAGACCTAGCCTATGAGTAAGGTTATGTCAGGCTTTTGGGGAGGAAAATATGAAAATCTCCAGATACAAAAGCATTAAACGGCTTGAATGAGGCCTCAAGTGCAATCCAACAAAAATGAAGATTTGGGGAATTGCTGGATTTATAAATGAAGGCTCAGTATATAACCCAGGCCTTAGACCGGCCCCTCTGGGCCACCCTCATTCCTCCACACACCTAGGCGATTTCCCAGTTAATCCTGTCTACCAGTCTCATCAAGGCCATTGTCATGCTAAAGTTCCTGAAAGTAGAGCTGCAGGGTAACCCAGACTGGGTGGGGAAGGAACGAGAAACCTGGGGCCAAATAACGAGCAAACTAAATAAACCCAGCAACTAAATATTTCCAGGTTCACCCTGTTTTCACCTGATAAATCAAGATGCACCTCCAATTCTTGAGGCTACCTCTGGTGTTGAAAATCCCACCAGGGCAATTCACTTCTGGATTTGAGACCCTTAATCAAAGACAAATCAAAAAACCCCACTTCCATTGAGGTGACTCCGACTGATAGTGACCCTATACAATGGAGCAAAACTACCCCACTGGGTTCCCAAGGCTGTAAATCTTGATAGAAGCAGACCACCACATTTCTCTCCTCCCCGAGTGGCTAGTGGGTTTGAACAGCTGACCTTTTGGCACTGCTTTAACCACAGCACCACCAGAAGAGCCTGTTGAGACCCTTAAGCTCTCAAAATCTGACCACCCTTAACAGGAGCTTCAACTAGCTCCATTTTCTTCTCTAATACACCCTAAGGTCACAATAAAACACATGCAGCATTGCAGCATGTTATTACAGCATCAGTTGATGTTCAAAATGGTATTGTTTTCAAATTCCATCTTGTTCTTTTAGGTTTCAGAACAATAAAGTCTATTAGGACTGTTTTTGTTAGGAGTTGTTAAGTGGATTTCAGCTCATCATGACCCAATGTGACATTATTCTTGTTTTTAACAAAAGTCAGAAGAAATGAGTTGCAACTTGCTGACAAGCCATTTGGGTGCCCTGTTAGTAATTATGTATCTACCATTACTACGGAAGAATTTATATTAGCTTTTATATATAAGATACAAGATAGAATCATGACCCAGACACTTATTAAGTCTGTTTACTCGTTTGAAAATAGAGGTGACAGTACCCACCTTAGTGTATCCTCAGAAGAATTAAAGAAGATAAAGTGGTAAATACACACAGTATTTGACACATCAGCGATCTATACAGTGGCTGCTAATAGAAATCCTATTAGGATCCTGTGCCTATGACTGTCAAATTGGAAATGACCTTTTTGCTGTGATTTGTAGTTTAATCTAGTGAGCAACAGGATAGAATGAAAATATCACCTTTACTCTTTCTGGGATATTATTGAATGTTGTTGTTAGGTGCCATCAAGTCGTTTTTGACCCATAGTGGCCCCATCTGATAGTGTAGAGCCCCACAGGTTTTCCAAGGCTGGAATCTTTATGGAAGATGATCACCAGGTTTTTCTCCCACAGAACCACTGGGTGGGTTCGCACCGCCGGTTCAAACTGCCAAACTTTCGGTTAGTAGCCAGCCTAGAGCTTAACCATTTGCTCCACTGGTACTCCTTTTTATTAACCACTAAACCAACTCAATTAGATAGAGCTAGAAACCATCCTCTAGGTAATTCACTGGACTGCTAATCAGAAGGCTGGCGGTTCAAACCCACCAGCCACTCGTTGGAAGGAAGGTTGGGCAATCTACTTCCATAGTGATACTGCCTTGGACACCCAAGGAGGTGTCGCTATGAGTTGGTCCGACTCCACAGGTGGCACATAACAACAACAACAATAGGTAATTCATATTCAAAGCTCAATCTCACTGCCCTCAAGTCGGATCCGACTCACAGCGACCCCTCCTTGGGTTTTCAAGGAGATATCTCTGTGGAAGTAGATAGCCCAACTTTCCTTCCAAGAAGTAGCTTGTGGGTTTGAACCGCCAGTCTTCTGGTTAGCAGTCAAATGCCTTACGCACTGCACCACCAGAGCTCCCTTATTCATATTCCAGTACATCAAATTGCCAAAGCACTGGAAACAAAGGCAGGTTTTGGCCTCTTGTCTTTCCCAGTCAGTCGTCTTTTGTTTTTTTCCCTTTAGATTTTTCTTTAATTAGCTTTTTCTTCTCAGGCTTAGCTTCTGCCATGTCTTTCAACTCTACCCCACTCTCAGGTCTTCTCTTTCCCCATTTTTTTTTTTTTTTTGTATGTCTTTCAAAGGAACAAAGTTTTTAAGACTGGAGTTCCAGCAATAAGTAAGGGATAACCCTAACAGTCAACAGCTTTCAATCTTCCTCTTCATTCCAAATGCAACTCAGGAAGCTAAGATTTCTTTGCCATTCACAATTTCCCACACTTAACAAATCCTAATTACATATTTTCTAAGACACATCCTAAAACTAACCTTCCCATTTACTCTGCGACTTGGCTCTCCACAGAGAGCTGCTGGCTTTGCTTCCACAGGAACTGAGTTTTATTCATAATGCAAAGATGTGAACTTGCTAGAGTAGGAGGAATAATGCCAGTTTCAAAGCAGGGAGATCATATTCTGTGAAACTTTGTCTTGTCAAACCATCATCCTGGAAGGGAAAAGAGTAGGAATAGGGGCATCAAGGAGAATGGAACTCAATTCATTGTGGTTCAAGCAGATAGGCTTCGTCTCATTAGAAGTAGGATATGTTTTTTTTTTTTTTTAAAAAAAAGGGAAAAATCTGACTCCTGGCCTTCCAATCAGCACAGTGTGGAAAATGGAGCAGTCAGGGCTGTCAAACACCTGAGTTGGCCTGCTGCTCTCTAAACTACTGGTAGAGGGAAGCTTTGTTTGTTTCCTCCCAGGGAGTCTTTGCATGAAAGTCTGGATGAATTCACCCCATCCCCCTACCCTGTCCCATTGAATATAGTGTGAGAGCCACTGGTGTGAAAGACCAAAGGAAGGGAAGGGGGCTGGTAGTTAGAAGGCCGATTTACTACATTCTTTGCAATGGAAAGTCTGTTGAATAAGGTTGAGAATGCTGTGGAAGCTGTAGGAGACTGGATTTTTTGAGATGAGCTGTGCAGGTGGAGGAAGGGTGGGCTGGGTTATAATATGCTAGAGTCCGGAACTGCAAATGTAAAACTGATTCAGTGAAATCCTGATTTAAAATTTTATTCTCCTAAAAGGATTGCCTGGGAAGGGAAAAAAAAAAAAAAAAAAGAAGAAGAAGAAGAAAAAGCTGAATATTAAAAATAAGAAATGTTTTATATATAAAATTTATTCCTTAGCAATGGATAAGAAATGCACTTTTGGTCACAGAACCTGTTAATGCAGGCTTCCTAACTCAGAGGAGGTATCTCTATGGAAGTAGATTGCCCAATCTTCCTTCCGAGGAGTTGCTGGTAGGTTTGAACTGCCAGCCTTCTGGTTAGCAGTCAAATTCCTTAGGCACTATGCCACCAGAGCTCCTAACTCAGAATTTAGTGCTCTTCCTATCAATTTTTTGCTGATTGGTCAAGGTAGAGAGGAAGTGACAATCATCAAGTGTTTTAATGTAGAATTCACCCCTCAAATCTCAGGCATGGTTTATACATCAAATTCAAGTGGAATTATTCCATCTACTAATCCACCATTGATTTAATCAATAAATAATCACTAGACACTTGGATAATACACAAGAAAAGTAAGCAATGTGGTATTATCCAAGCTGATAGTGATTCACTTATTATTTTTTTTTTATTTACTTCTCATATAGTTTTCTGGTTTAGAATGTAAGTTTCTTTACATTGCTTCACTGTACCTAATAAACACATAAGTAGCTGCCTCTTAATGAGTTATCAGGATATATAATATGTATATGCATATATGTATGTTTTTTCTTGAGTGATTTAACATTGGTCAGCAACTATTTATTTGTTTTTTCAACTAATAGTTAATGAGTGCCTATCATGTACCTGAGAGAGATAATAATTAAACTCCATTCCTGCTTTTGAGGAGCTAATAATTTAGTAGACAATGTTGTTGTTGTTGTTATGTGCCGTCGAGTCAGCCCTGACTCATAGCGACCCCTCCTTGGGTTTCCGAGGCAGTATCACTATGGAAGTAGGATTGCCCAGCCAGTCAGCCCTGACTCATAGCGACCCCTCCTTGGGTTTCCGAGGCAGTATCACTATGGAAGTAGGATTGCCCAGCCTTCCTTCCGAGGAGTGGCTGGTGGGTTTGAACCGCCAGCCTTCTGGTTAGCAGTCAAGTGCCTTAGCCACTATGCTACCAGAGCTCCCTTAGTAGACAATATATTAACTCCTTGTTACTGTTTTTTAATGCTTATCACATGACATTATAATTGTCATAATATATTAGTAGACAATATATTATGACAATTATAATGTCATGTGATAAGCATTAAAAAACAGTAACAAGGAGTTACGTGCTGATGCTAAAGGAGTACAAACCGTGGGAGGTGGGGTGGAGAAGGGCCAGTCAGGAAAGACTCCCTGGAGGATCTTAAGCTGAACTGAGATGGAAAAATGTGGTGAAACTGTTGTTGTTATGTGCCATCAAGTCAGCCCCGACTCATAGCAACCCCTCCTTGGGTTTTGGAGGCAGTATCACTACAGAAGTAGATCACCCAACCTTCCATCTGAGGATTGGCTGGTGGGTTTAAACCACCAGCCTTCTGGTTAGCAGTCAAGTGCTTTAGGCACTATGCTACCAGAGCTCCTGTGGTGAGGCTAGAGGAAGGAAATTAAAGAAAAGAAAAACCAGTTGCTGTGGATTCTGACTGATGGTGCCCTCATGTATGTCAAAGTAGAACTGTGCTCCACAGGGTTTTTAATGGCTAATTTTTGGAAGTAGATCACCAGGTCTTTCTTCTGAGGAGATTTTAGGTGGACTTGAACCTTCAATCTTTCAGGTTAGCAGTTCAGTGCATTAGCTGTTTTATCACCAGGGAGTCC